TGTCATACAACATGGTGAGCTTATGCTTGATGATGCTATGATTTTTCTACTTTATGTCTAAAGTCTATTCAATGTTGATGACTACTATAGTGATCAATATTGACATCCGTCTTGCTTCGTATGTGCACTTTTTAATGAAATCCAATAGATATATTTTCAACGAAATTGAAGACAACTTATTCCCAAATAACCGTTTTAATAAAACAAGTTCTTCTTGTTTCAATATACATTAACTGATGTTGTTCGAATGAGTGCGTTTATCCACTGGAGCTCTTGGCTTTCAGTAAAAGTAATTATTGTGACATACATATTTATGTATAGTAAATTTGATCTAAAGTTTGCAGATAAGTTCAGAAACTTCCTTTTATATGATATTTTATGCACTTTTCTTTTGGAATTGTTCATTCATCGTTTCGCATTAGCGCTTCAAAAATATAAACCAATTATCTCAAGCATGATCAGTAGAGGACACACCATAGAATTCAAGGAACGATTTAAAGAATAACTGATATCTATCTATCGATTAGTTTTTCTTATTGGACCTATATCTTCGCTCAATCGATTAAGATAATGATATACTTATAAATATTTCTTTCTATTTTTATAGGATTATATACATGATTTGAAATCTTTCTCATTAATATGCCATAATAAAACTGATGCATACGACAATCTAGTTGTACGACTTCTTCGTCGTATGTCACATCTCGAAGAATTAACTCTATATGTTTGAATCGAGAATCGGCCTAAGTTCGTCGATGGCACTCATATTCATAATGAAATTCTTACTGATATGACACATCTTCATACGTTTAATTTTTATATTAATACTGAAAACGATGTCAATGCTTCAAGTCTTCGCCTTTATAATAATGATATGCAACAAACTGTTACAAATAGAAGAAATCAACAAGCCGCTTGTGCTGTAGACCATTTTGTAAATTCAAAAGTCTTATGCCAGGTCTTCTCACTTCCAGTTAATTTTGATCGTCTCGCAAAGGTCACGAAAAATTTTCCGTCTATTATATCCAACTATGTAACTTATTTGGTGTTGTGGGATACTGTTTCATTTAAACATGAATTTTTCGTTCGAGTTGCTCAATCTTTTCCATTAGTTAAATATTTATGTATTCACAATATTCAACCGGTATTTTTGTCATTCAAGAACTCGCATACGATCGATCACTGCTCACCTGTTGTGGGACATCTTCATTTTATTTTGCTAGCGCTCAATTTTGCGAATGATTTTTATATTGATCAGTTTCTCAATGAAAGAAAAAGAAATCTGCCGCGCCTAACCGAATTAAAAATCAATTATCGGCTATTGAAAAGTGTGACGGAGAATTTTACAAGGGATGAAACGCGGCGCAATTGCGCGACGGTGCAACAACTAATTTTCGAAGGTTCAATAGTTTTTTTCGGAAGATATTTATCGCTATTTTCCTTCATTGTAAAATCCATATTGCTGTAATATTATTTGAATAGAAATCTATGATGTAATTTCTCATTTTGTCTTTTTGTGAAACTCAGTAGATGATAAAAAAATTAGTTTTTCGCTAACTGAGAAATATGTTGTGCAACATATTTCTACAGAGAAACTCTTTTTATTATTTTACTGATTTATATTTGCATGCAAATTTCCATGGTTCAATCACCATTTATAATGATACAGCCTCAAGCATAATGTATTTGTTCTCGTCTCTTAATATCATTAAATAACCAGTACTAGAAATTATCAGACTTTTATACAGTGAAATCTAGTTGGCAGATGAACGAGTAGTTATTGTGTTTATTCTTTACTGATCTATTTATATTGACGTTGCCTCAATAGGATCATTAGCTTTTAACTGAGAAAACAAGAAAATAACGTTCACAAGATTTATGTCCGACATGAGTAATTTTGTTGACTATATTTTTACTGAATTACTAAATACGCCAATTATGAAACAGGTGAGAGTGTGTAGCTTGAATCACAATTGACCCGCATGTAAACCCACTACCGACCCCCACACACACACCCTTAGTTCTGTACTTTTTGTACTCTCAAGAACTTTACATATGCATCTCATATGTATATTTGGTGCTGATTTGTAGAATATTCTATTCTTAGTTATAGAAAAAGATCGAATAATATCGCCTATTACAATTAAAACGATATTTTGTCATTGCAATAGGCTTTTTTTTTTCAGGTAAGATAACTGAAAAAATTTAGATAATACTTTTAATAATTCACGCAAGATTCGATTCAAGCAACAAGTCACGAAACTCGTAGAATGTCACCTGTTTATATACAACTTCGAAAAATTGTTTCCGATTGAATGATTTATTAGAGCAGATCAACAGAAAATTGCTAGTTATTTTACCAAATACTCAACATGTACGTGTTTGCAAAACAGAGAATATCAAGAGACGGAGACAAAGAAAGAAAAGAAATGATTAGTAATGAATGTTTCAAGAATTCTTCCCCTAGACAAAATTTGGTTAAGTAGTCATAGGATATGATTTTACACTAAATGTATCTATATCAAGGCTGGCGATGAATGTTGAAGACTCTAAGCGATAATCTTGTATAACATATTCTGTTGTAATATGAATAATTAAAATGAAAGAATACGATGATCGATTTGTCGAAAATGGCAACTGACATTTTTATTAAGACAAGAAACGTCTGCTATTAGACAGAGACATATATCAAATTGATGACAAAACATATCGTGTAACTAATATATATATTTGTTTACAACTATTTTCTATAAGCATTGTAAATTTTTAAGCTATCTGATTAATAATATACTTTTTAATTATCACGATTAATTTTCTTCGATCCTTTTTTTTTGCAATCTACTTATAGCTACATAAAATTTGAACATCCGTTTTTCTTTTACTCTAAACTGAATAATTATGCTGAAAATTTCGATGCGCCATACGTACATATGTCTATATGCTTTGTATTTGCGTCGTCAGGTGGAATTTACTCGTTAACTAATGCATTAGTTGTTCTTTATTCTTTTGTCAACATCTAGCATGTTCATGTATCTTAATTCCTTTGAAAGTATTTCTTAAGTCAATAATTTGACTAATCATTAAACCATAGTCATGTATGAGAAATCTCATCAAATTTTAACAACTACTTTCTAATTCTGATTGTGTATTTGCACTATGTCGGATCGATTCAACTGCTAATTAGAAATTCATAAAGAACGATACTGCTGCCCAACGTCATTAAATTAATCATCGTATTCTTATATTTTAATTATTCATATTGAAATAGAATATATTGTATATGATTGCATCCGTATACAAATTTAACTCTCGTATCGTTACACTTCCTATTTGTAAAATAAACAAGATTTTTTCGAAGTCTAGAAGTTCTCAATCAACGTTTAGATGAACCACTTTAATTTTCTCTTATTAGTAATCGTGCATTTCTTTAAGACCCTAGAGAAGGACTTATTCATAAAAGAAAACTTCCTTATTGAAAAATGTTTTTTTTTGCTGTGTTAAAAGTTTTCATATTTTGATGTTTAGTTTGCTCTTAAAAATAATACTTGACTAAAGTTCGACATTGATATAGGCTTTTCACATCATTCGTATCCTAATTATTTTTACTGGTTTTCTATTTTATGAAAATTCATATAAATGTCTATTTTTCGTTTGCTAACACACATAGATTATATTATTTTCAATGCTTATTTAGATATAGCTACATCACTTCTTCATAGCAATGTTTAATTTAGTGAAAGTTCTATTTTAACTCCTTCAATATTTTACTTCTATATTGAATTTGTTACTTCATCATACGAAAGCATTAAAATGTAGTCATTTTAACATTGTTGTTACAATTTTTATCGTGGCATTGCACGTCCGTGAGCAATATTTTTATTGATTTCATTATCTTGATTTTCTTTGGAGTTATATAATCGTATGTTTCAAGTTAATTTGATTTAGCAAAACAAATTATTTCTAGTAGTTAAACAACGAAATTAAATATAACCCATAGTTTCAATGGTTGATGCCTTTCCAAGCCTAAGTTCAACAGACAATTGGAATAAAAATATATAACTTATTCAAGATCTATTTAATTTTTTGTAATATAATTTTAAGAAAAAGACATAAACTGATTTATTCAACAACATGTACTGATAATTTGTCGTTAACAACGAGGATTTATAATGCAAAGCACCCGTATTGTTTATTTTATTTATATGATTATTGGTTCATTGATTCTACTTATCTCAAATTAAAACAAAAAACAAAAAGAAAACGAACGCATCAAATATTGATATAACAGCATGTCAATTGCGGCAACAGTTTTCTTCTATACTACTGATTTTCATGCTGATTTGATTTATTTTATAAGTAGCAATAGCTAAATAGATTGCCACTTGCGTGCCATTTAACCCCTATACACTTTCATTATGACTGCCTTGTTATATTTTGTTTGCCCGGTAGTGCCGCCATGTATGTGTTTACTTACTAGATTGGCTACTGCTGGTTCTCATACAATTCAAAAAAAAAAGGAAGGAACAATTTATTAAAAACTTCTATCTCTACCCCCAAAGAGCTCTTCTTCTATTTTCATATTCTCTTATTTCTTTCTCTCTACATGTATACTAAGCTCAAGTATCGAGACAATATAGCTACCACAAATGGCACTCGTTTCATCAGAACGCATATATCCAGTATACGAAAGAAACCGAGTTGTACGTCACTTTCTCTCTTCCTTTCTGTCACGTTGGTAACAGAAAAAAAAGAGTCAAAAAAGAAGAAGAAAGAGAAAACGTATTTCCGGGTAGTCGTGGCCGTCTTCTTTTTATCAGAAACTACTCATCATCATCACCATTGCGACTAGATGCCTGAGGGATGTACTTTGTTTAGTTAGAAGAAAAAGAGAAATCTAGAGAAAGAAGAAAAAAAGAGAAGAAAAAAAACCGCATAAAAATTAGATGTCTCAATAGAGTTATAGTGTTTTGAATTGCAGAGAGAGATAATTCATAAGAATGTTCGCAGTTCCTGAAGTCGACGATAATACTGATGTTTCATCTTCAATTGAAAATACAAAACCATCGATTGAATTTGAAATGACTAAAGAATCTACATCATCACCTGAGCCACTACTAACATCTTCTGAACCAATCTCTACAAAAGAGAAAGAAGAAAAAGTTTCAATTAAACCAGAAGTTTCACCACTACAACCACCGCCGCCGCCGCCTTCACAATCAGCAGCAGCTTCTCAACAACGTCGTTCTCGACTTAGTCTTTTTCATCGAAATACAATTCATGTTTGCGATCAAATCGTCGATCGTGTGTAAGTTTCTTTTCATTTTTGTTTTCTATTTTATTACTATTTTTTCTCTTACAACACTGATGCTTCTTCTCATCGTAGATATCTATTCGGGTCAGTGCGCGCACAAATAGACATTGAGTCAGCAACAGCAGTTCATAATGAATACGGGCAAAGCCATTATCAATGGCCGCTTGTGTTCTCTGATGCGAGAATGAATTAGTGAACTACTCTTATAGTAGTCTCATCGTCATGAGAATGTCGACTAAATGTCACCAGTAATACTACATAGGAAGGAAAAAAAACTTTCCTCTTATCTGTCAGAAAATATAATGAACTCGCTTCGTTTATATAGATCGTGTCCGCTATTCTCGTTCATAATAGAAAAGGTAAAAGTGTCAAGAGGAACCAAGCACTATCGCTAGTATTCTTGACGTCGCTGTCATACAAAAAGAAATGCCGCCTATTCTTTTGATTTACTAATGGATGACGACTGGCCACAGTTGTTACTCATAGAGTGAGGTTCATTAAAACTTGTGTATTGGTTATATCATGCTGTTTATATGAAGTTATGTTATTGAAAAATTCAAGAAGAAGATGTTACGCAGGTATCTTCTTTTGGATACATGCAGCTACGTAGATTAATTCTATATATTATTTATAAATGCTAATCTTGTTCATCGCACCATATGTTTCTAAAAACAAGTTGAATCAAATTGTTCGGCTTAGAGAAAATTATTGTGAACGAGAATACATGCGAATGAATATAAGCACTTCTGGTAACCGCAAGCATCTTATAACATTGAAATAAGCGACAACCAAAAGTGACTCAGGGCAAACAGATAGAATGCATAAAAGTTATCCCGTTGGTATGTAATAGAACGACATATTACATCAGTATTAAATTGATCGTAGTTCAATCATTTTTTTTTACAAGCCAAATTCCTTTCATGCTCATTCTTTTCTTTGTTTCTTATCAATTTTATCATGAAAATTCTACGAAAATTCTCTATTATGTCTGCTTATGAATATTTCCTCATGATAAACCTAAGACGTGTTGATAGGTAAGAAATAGAAATGTTAATCTATTCATAATGTCTAACTATTCCGTATGTGTTTATTTGAAAATCACAGATATGCCTATAGGCGCAGCCATCTGCGATGGTTATAATAATCTTGATGACCAAATTTTTCATTGTAATCAACATATAAAAAATGAATATAGAAAGGAAATAATATAACAAATTACCGACAGATACATAGACATAGACGGATTCTATTATATAGAAAGTGACAGACAATATCAATCAAACTTCTATTTATATACTTTTAAGAAGTTCAAAGTTAACAAGCTTTTCATTTTCTTTTTGTCGTTAAAATTATTTTTAATATATTAAAGTGCTCTACTTGTTCTCTATGATGAATAGTCATTTCATTTTCTTTTCTACCAATAAAAAAAAGTAGACCATAAAAAGACATTTGCATAGTATCCTGATAGTATGTAACAGTAACTGGTCGATATTAGTAGGCAAGGCAAAAACTAAAGAAAGAAATTTTTTTCCACATTCCATATTGATACATTGTTTATTACGATTTATAAATTATATCTATAGTACACTCTAATAAATTGTCACAAAATAATAATCTTAAGAGAATATACATCTGAGATACCATATGTTTGAAATAAAACGAGATATCTAAATATATGCATATAACCTTGATCAGAGCGTCATAATTCAATATTCGACAACCTTATATATGTATACATGCAACCTTGGCATTCCATTAGACATCAAGATGATAGACATAAGAGAAAGTGCATCGCACAATGACTCTAATTATTACTTCTATCTTTGTATCAATCAGACACCTTGAAGTTTTCTTTTTATGATATATCATTTCGACTTCATCTAATAGCTACAACAAATCAATACAGAGGTTAGTATTTTATATCTCATCGAATTTTTAACAGTGAGTTAACTGTTATCTTTTGTGAATGAAATTGATGATTATTGAGATATTAATCTTAGTTGTGTAGTATTTTTATTTCCTTTTTTGTTGTCATGTATTGTCTTCTTGCCATATATAGACATACTAGAAATATCTAGACCTAGGCGTTTTTATGGTTCTCATGAATGTGTTGTTCTTGTTTTTCAATAATATCTAGAAGAAAAATGATAGATAGGACACTGCATGTTGTCATGATTGTGATGCCTACTATTTTTTGTACTTTGTTTATCATTATTGATAAGAAAAATGAAGGAAATTCAAGGACTATCAGTAGTTTTCTGATTGATATATAAAAAAAATATCTAGAGAATGTAAACAAACAGGTAACATGAGCCACAGAAAGTTCCTACTGCGAGATCTTATTAATACGTACTATGATGCTGGTATTGTGAATAATTAAATCTATGTCTCGACTCGTATCGACCTGACTAGATGACAGATTGACAAAGGTTATTTTTGTTCGACTAGATGGATTAAACTAACATACTCTCTATAATATGGTGTTCCGCCGTGTGTATATTTAGTGAGAGAGGAAAAGGACATGGATAATGATCATCAATAGGTTCTTATCTTTTTGAATACTTTATCGTTCTTGGTAAGAACAAAACTACAAATGTAATTTTAATTTCTTTCTTTTTTTCTTCTTCTTTCTTATTCATATCGCATCACATACTTTCACGATTACACAAATACATAAAAAACGGGTCTGTAAAAAAAAAAGAAAAAGGAGAATAAGAAAATAGGAGAACATGAAGTAGTAGCTATACATGTATGTTCGAATTTATTGAGAGAAGAGAAGAGAAAAGAAGAGAATCTGTCTCGTTTGTCTTCATTAAACCGCACATTTATTTGTGCAATATATCTCACACGCGTGCCATGCCAACATCAGTGAAAACTAGTAATGTAGAAGGAACAACAAAAGTCAAAGAGCTATCATCGAAAAAGAAGGAAATCACCAATAAACAAATCAGATTATCAAATGTTACGATACGATCCTCTCCTTCTCATTCTAGCACAGCACATCAACAGCATCATTCAGCACCACCATTGCATAATCAACAAACAAAAATAGGTTTAGATGCCATTCATGAAAACGGCGAATATTTATCAAAACACGAACAACAACAACAACAACAGCAGCAGCAACAACAACAACAACAACAACAACAATATTCAATAAATAATCGTTTCCCTCGTTCAAGTACAGTTCCCTATCCAGCCTATGCAACAATAAGAAGAAACGATGGAAACTATCTTCCCTCTTCACATTGCTATTATAACGATAATGCAACATTTGTTCACGGAAATATTTCACCTGCGCAATTAAACACCTATTATAATACTCGACAACCACTTTCATTAATTAATACTAATTTTCAACCAATTTCACCTCATCATCCTTATGCAAGTCGACCTGTTGACGTACTTAAACCAACTTTTTTAATTGTACCAAAAGCAGCAGAACAAAAATTAGCTGCTCAATTATCAGCATCGAATTCACCAGTATTAACTACTAGTAGTAAAAAAGTACTTATGACAAAAAAACAAGATATTAAAACTCAACAAAATTCAGCAGCAACAACCATTGGACAATCACCAACACCTGTCCACAATGTCGAAGTTCAAACAAATAATGAGTCAACAACAAAACCAACAATGATGAATACATCACAAAAACATATCGGTCTTCTTGCAACACCTAATCCATCACCGTATGTTCATTTTATTAATGTACCATATCCGATGCAATCAATAGAATCTTCACAAGAAGGCCCACCAGAAACATCAATAATACAAGACGAATTCGTTAATTTAAATGATTATAATCAATCGTCTATTAGTATTCAATCGATGCCAAATGTAGCTCTGACGCAAGGTAAAAATTTTGAAAATAAAAATAAAAAGGCAAATGGTTTCTCTCAAATAATGTGCACATAAAATCTCCGCCTACTCATATACATATATATATATATATATATATATATTGTTTCTTTTTTATCCGATTATCTTAATTAACGTTGCATCATAGGCAAGGCTTCTCATCCGTTCGTCAATCATTAGCTGAATGGCCGTGTATCCGTATCTTGTTACTTTTTCTAACAATCTTCACATAAACATTCTTCTTTCTTTTATGACCTAATCGTTAGTAAAGAATATCATTTCTCTTTCTTTTTATAGTCTCGCCTTATCACTGGCATGGCTCACCAATTTTACGTTATTATTATCCATCTCAACAACCAATTGATGAACAGCAACAGCAGCAACAAGAACAGATGATAACCAGTGCTGAATCAACTGGTGTACGATCAGCAACAATGCCACAATTGGCAAAAACAGCAAATTATCAAAATCGTATTGAAACAGGAGAAGCAGATGAATCAAGTATAGCATCATTTGATTTTGCTCATACAGATCTTGTTGATATGCCAGGCTCATGGCGATATCAATCAGTACCTGTACGAACGGCAGTACGAAGACATCGTGCACCAATACCACAATCATTTTTTGACACACAACAATACGTTAGCGATTCTGAACAAGTTATTCGTTCATCTAGTTATATTCAGCCACAATTATTTGGTTCAATACCAACAATTAACAGGTAAAGAAAAGACGAAGAAGAAAGCCTATATTTGAAACATTGCCTTTTTCTTTGTTTAAATATTTATTAGACCATTTGATTCAATTCAAAGTCAACAGCCTATTCAATTTGTTCCATCCATTCGTTTAAATGATAAAGATATATTAAAAATTGCTGCATTCTATAAAAGTATAGGTACACTTGTCTATGTTGCTCACAGTATAGCTACATTGTATGCATCGGATTTTGATGCGATGGCTAATTTAAAAGATTGGAAAAAACTTTATACAGGTGTACCGATATGGTTATTTAATACTGGCATGAATCCTAAACGGTAAATAGTTTATTTTAAAAAAAAAGACAAGGATTTTCAAATCACTAACTAATAAGAAATAAATAAATTTGTTTTTTTTTCAGATTTCGTAGTATTCGATTAGTTATCTCAGAGCTTGGGTCAAGTTTTACACTTTGGGATACAATTGTTAATGGCGCATCGGATGTACGCTTACCAAAACCACGTCATATAACATTAAAATCACTTGAAACAGGTACAATACTTGCATTGAAATTTGAGGATACGAATGCAACCGACGAATTTCATCAATATTTTGTTAAATTATCGTGTGATCCACGTAATAAGGATTTATTTGATGTATTTAATGCAAAACGACGTCCAGCTGTTTTTATTTTACGTAAAAAAAAAATAAAAAAATCAGCTATTTCAAAACCATCACATTTCAATCATATAACAAAAGTTGATGAAAATGATAGAGATTCATTATATACATATTCGGTGCTCGTCGATGATCACATTACTCTTTCTTAGTGAACCAGAAAAATCAACCAACAAAACTATGAATATTTTAATTTTTATCCTGTCTATATATTAAGCACATATGTATCTGTGTCCTTCTTTTACATTTGTATTGTAATGTCTATTCTTATGTTTAATATCTGTGGCGCATCTTTGCTATACAATTGATGAGTAAACATTTATATAAAGAGAAGAAAATAATCATGAAATGTCCTATTGATTGTCCTATTGATGATAAGATTATACATTTTCATTATTAATAGATGCATGAGAATTCATTCGGGGAAAGAATAGAAGAATCATCTAGATTAATTTGAATAAGTAATAGTTCTAGTTTTTCTTCTCTAATAAAATACAAATACGATATGACAAATGAGATGAAATAGAAACGAATGAGCAATATTTCTATTAATGCATAATTTCTTTTATTATTATTATGGATTATATCTTTTTTAGTTTCATAGAGAAAAGAGACCATTGTAATTAAATGGAATAGTTTTTTCTTAATTTTTTGATAGACACGAAAAATCTCGTAAATAAATTGGATCTACTATCTTTTCAATTCGCACTCAAATACCTGAGAAATTCTATTCTTCATATGAAATTTGTTAAATAACGAATATGCTTTTTTCTTTTGGAATAGTCGGATTTGACGAATAGTAATGAAAAATTATCCAAAATAAAGAACAAAGAATAGCATTCAATTGACTATTAGCATATTTTATCATTCGTTTTTGTAAAATGTCAAAAGTATCTTTTTTTTTGTATATTGATTTGCATACATTAAACATTGACTATGTCTCTTATTTAGAGCATCAACATGCTCGTTTAAATCATTGAAAATATATTTTGTTTTCTTGCAAAATAATCTTAACATTGATTTTAAAAAGGTCTTCAAACCACATGAAAGTTACCAGAGAAAGCGAAAAGCCAATGTTTACAATCAGTTTTAGCATTTGCGTCTGATTTGTCATATGTGGATTGCGCAAGATTGCGATTTATTTTTACGAAATAAATTATAATAAACTATAGATCTGGAAAATTTTCTGTATACTATATCTACGAATGTGTACTTTATCCATAATTAGGTCTATTGAAAAAATTCAATTTTTTAGAATTTATCTTTCCAAATTCAATAAATTATTGATATGAATATCAAGATACAGAAAAAAGATTAGATGAAATTTTTTATGCAGGAAATTTTCCTCTGGAAAGTGGGAATTATTAAAGATTTTTGACGTTTTTATTTGTGTACGAGTTCATACGAATATAAAATATATGATTTCAAGTATTAGCGTATAATCGAGCAATCTTAGGCCATATTTTCTTGCATTTGCGTTAGCTATTTTGAAACGAATGAACAAGCATTACATCTCATCTTTTCTTTTCTTTTTCATAAAGACGTAGTTAGAAATTCAAAAAAAGTAGACGACGTTATGGTTTGAATTAAAAAAGTATCGTGATTGTAGCTAAATCTTAATTATTTTCTATGCCTAGTCACGCGCCCATTTTCAATTCAATTGTCAATCACACTTGGATAGTCTTTTTCGTGACAACGGGAATATATTTTTTTAAATATGATTTGTTGTGCTTATATTTAAAATTTGATTTTCACCACAAGGACAGACTTCTACGTGAGCGAATCATAATTATTTTACTAGTTTACTAATAAAAATAAATTTAATACGATAATTTTAATGTATTATCAGCATATATATATATGATATTAAGAAAACTAGAAAGATCAACATACGCCTTTTCTATGCGAATTAATCTTATGAAAATAACTGAAAATTAATATATGAATATTATATTTTTGGATAATCTAATGGGAATAAAAGCAAAACAAATACAGTATATATGTAGATAATAGCTGTTTATAATTAACTAAATCTTAGTAAATCGTTCTCCGCTACTGCTTCGTTCAATTTCCACCGAAGAATTAAGTGATTGATATTCATTAGTACTGGAACTTAACTTTTGTTGCATATCAATTATTTGTTGTTTCATATCACGAATCTAATTTATGAAGATATTAAAATAAATTATAGATTCAAATATATTTTTACTTGTTCATCTTTTTGTTGAATTATTTTATATTTAACTTCAACATTTTCGTATGCATCATCTCTATGAAAAATAGAAATAGAATTAATTATTCATTGAAAAACTCATTATCAAAATTAATTTTACTCGTAGATATCATTTAAATTTCTTTTTCCAAGCAATTGTTGTGCTCGAAAACTTTCGTAATGAAGATCACTTGTAACATCTTTTAAATCTTGAAGATGTGTTCTATAAATTCATTGCAGTTAATAGTTTTTTCTGTGATTTGTTTTCCTTAGTCAATCTTACTTGCATAACATTTCACGTAAATGAGGTAAATCACTATATTTTGGATCTTCAACATCAACTACACCCCATGGATAAGTTCTAGCGCGAACTTTACGTCCATTTGATTCGAGTGTTGTATTACTGCCCATGATAGCAAATGGAATTGATTCCTTTGTTTTTTTTTCGAAGTAGAAATTAAAAAATCAAATAAAAAATATCAATTAAAATTTTTACTCTCAAAACTTTATCCAATGTGTGACTATCTTCAGCTTGTTCGGAATCGCCTTCAGGGAAATCATATAATTGCACGCCGTATTTATCAATATCACTTAATAGTTGTTTTTTCAATGCTGTTAGTTCACTTTTAAGTAAAGTATCCGTTTTAGCAATAACAGGTATTATATTAACTTTATGTTGAAGATGATGAAGAAAATCTCGATCAATTGGTCGAAGACTTTTATTTAAAAAAAACAAAAAAGGTTAAAATATTATAGAAATTTCAAACTGATTTACCCTCGAATACTTGGTGGTAAAAAGTATAAACAACAATGAACACGTTGATCTTGAACATATTTACGTTCAATACCAAAGCTTGTTTCGGCTTGAAAATATTTAAGAAATTGTTGATCAATAAAATCAAGTATTGGTTTCCAACTAGTCAATGAAGAAAAACAGAACTAAGATAATAAATAACAATTAATCATACCATTCCGAAGAATTCATTCCATCACCAAAACCAGGAGTATCAACAACAGTTAAACGTAATTTAACACCTTTTTCTTCTAATTCAACAGTACGAGTTTCAATTTCAACTGTTTTTGGTGGATGAACTGCAAAATTAAAAATTAGACAAATTCTAATTTTATCTTTAATCCATTCAAATGTATTTTACGTCGAGCAGATGGTGGTCGATCAGCATAAAGTTCTGTCATGAATAAAGTATTAATAAATGTTGATTTACCTAGACCATGTTCACCTATAAAAAGAATGTTTTTTTGTTTTCATTAAAAAATGTGAAAAAGAAAACAAATATCTATGTACATACCAACAACCATAAGTGTAAATTCGAATCCTCGTTTAAGTGTTTTTCGATGTATTTGATCGGGTAATGTTGAAAAGCCGATTGTTTCCTGGAATGTTAATGGTTTTGTTGTTGAAGATTCGATAGAAGTTCTACTTTGATGTAAATAAGGTACATCACGTATATCACGTGGAACTGCATTAGACGAACTACTTTGTTTTCTTAATAAGCTTAAAATAGGATTTGTCCTAATGCTCGATGGTGATGGGGTAGAAGAAAAACTCATTTTTTTAAATGGATATGTATATGAAGATATATCTCTTTCGAATGTTGATTTGTGAAAAATGTCGAGGCCTCAATAACCTTCATAAACTTTAGCGATAAGACAAATAAAACAAAAATGAGGAAAAAAAGTAAAAAGACCCACACTGCATGCTGTATTAAGATCCATACATTTTCGTCGACGTCCGCCAACAGTTGGTGCTGTTAAACATTCGAACGCATTCGTTGCCATCTATTTCTTTTTTCTTGCTTGAGAATCAAATGATGGATTGATTCTTTTTAATGAACAACATGTACACAACCAAATGAAAAGAGAAAGAAAACGAGAATTTCGGTGTGAATGATTGTATCATCGTTAGGAGAACAATTGTGTAGTAGAGTAGTAACGCAGGTTGAAAGAGAGACAGAGAGAGAGAGAGAGAGAGAGAGAAATGAGAGGTGTTAGGTAGTAAGAAGATGCGTGAGGAATAGAGATTTTATTACCGCTTCACTTCCGAAAGGTTGCTGCTCGATGATGTTGAATGAAATGTATTGCATACAAGTGAGGAAATAACAAAAATCAAACATTAATCGATTGCTAAGACAAAGAATTTGAGAAGATATACGAACAACAGTAATAAGAGTATATATCATATATGAAAACAATCAATCTTTTTTTCCTTCTTCTGAATACACAATTACTCTTTAATTACTTCGAAGTTTAAATCCATTGATCTATTGTTAGAAAAGAATAAATTGCTTTTAATCTTTCTTATTATGTATTGTTGAAGGTAATTGAGAAAGACATTCTTTTTTGAGTTTAACCCACGCACTATAGATTTTATTATCGTAGTTATTGAATAAAGTAGCTCGCGATTGAGATTATCATTGCAATTACAATTTTATTTTAATCTTGTTTGACCTATTATGTTATATATCATTCTGTAGATACGTATGTATCTGTTTCTAAACAACGTTTGTTTTCATTCATTTGCATATGTTTATGATGATGATATTTCATGCGTAAATCATTTGTTATTAATACGAGAAAAATTATTCTTGTCACATTTAGTTACTATGAAAGATCCTTTTTATTATTTTATTAGTTTTCAATCATGATGAGAGTATACGACAACTAAAAATAAAAAGTGCTGATAAATTTTTATATATTAATATCGATCGAACATCAATAAAAATCTTTTAAAAATGATCAAAATTTCATTAATTGTTGTTGTAAGAATGATATTAATGGGAGTAAAATTTCAAAATTACAATACAGAGTACACAATTTCAGATAGCACAAAATTTGATGTAAGAATCAATCTAACAGAACATCGACCAGTTGTATCATCTATATTAAAGCTAATTACTAGATGTATACTGATATCTTATCAGT